TGATCCAGCAGTCTCCCACATCCCACGTCTCTGACTTTTAAGGCCAGAGGGGACCATCATGATCATCTAGTCTGACCTCCCGTACATTGCAGGCCACAGAACCTCACCCACCCACTCCTGTAATAGACCTCTAACCTCCAGCTGAGTTACTGAAGTCTTCAAGTCATGATTTAAAGACATCAAGTTACAGAGAATCCACCATTTACACTTGTTTAAACCTGCAGGTGACTCGTGCCCCTGCTGTAGAGGAAGACGAAAAACGCTAACCACTCAGCTAAAAGTTGTAAAAGAAGTCCTCTTCCTCTTCCCCCTGGCTGTTTTGTGTGGAATTAGACTACCTCTGAGCTTGCCTACTGGATCGGGCCCCGCATGTGAATTAGGTGGCCAAACACCCATCTCTCCCCTAGTTGGTGAATCACTCTGGGACTTAGGTGCCCAGTCACCTAGAGTAGGGCTGCAGTGCACATGATCAGAGCCAGAAACATAGACACCTAGGGAACTTTTACAGCAAAAACTTAGGCACCAAGTGAGTTGAGGTGCCTACAGGATTAGCTGAGCTGGAGGTTTGTGGATCTCAGCGGTGCCTAAAATCAGGACTTAGGTGCCTAAATACGTTTGTGGATCCCACTCTTGGTCACTCTGTGCCTCTGTTTCCCTTCTGTAATATGACATTGCTACTTCACAGGGGCAGTTTGTGAATTGCTCAGAAACTATGTGAATGAGGGACCTCAGACAGATATAGTGTTTCTTTTCCACTTGGGTTTGCTCTGGATTTTCCCACACACAAGAGAAAAAAAGAACTCAAGTTTAGCTTTAGAAAACCAACGGTAATATTTGGGTAACAGATCTCACCTACATTGAAAACTTTTAGAGTGGCAAGTGGAGTGAGCATAATATTAAAATAATTAAAACATTTTTAAATTAGAGTTTAAAATTCACAGACTGTGGGCATGATTAAAATTCTCAGAAGTAAATTTTGGTTGATAAAAACATAACATTGTAGTTAGACGCAGAAGTTAAATATACTGTAACGCTACCTCCAGAATACTTATCTTCTCTTTATCTATGGGACAACATTTAAAGAGGATAAAGATTCTGCTTTAAACTCCTTTGTTATATAGCAATTTAACAGTATGTTCCTAAAATAATCAATTATTTTTATTTGTAAAATACCCAGCTCTATCCACCACCCATTATACTGTTGTCTCAGTGCCTCAATGCCAGGAGCACACACCAAACTGTAATTTGCCTGGGTTGCTGCACCCTCTGCTGGAGCAGGTAGAAATTATTAAGTTATAACTATATTTTTTTAAAAGTGGGCTGGATAAATTTAAACATCTTGTATTTTAAACAAACTAATTTCTTGGTTACTAGTAAGGCCATAGATTATTCAAACTAATAATACAATTTCCTTTTCACCATTTACTTACTTTTTGCATTTGTCCAGCTTGGACAATAAAAATTAATGAATCAGTTTTGTTTATAACCTGTTCTCTTTCAGGTTCTCTCTGCTGAAAAAACTGGATGGCAATTACTGTTTACATTGAATATTTTGGAACAAATTACTGATTTCTATTGGGCTTCTACTTTTTAAACATTTTATTTTAAAAATCTAAATGCTGGCTCAAATTTGAGCCGACAATATTTTCTTTACATTAATGTGCTGATACTTTATGCTCAAATTATTAAGGTAAAGGTAAAAGAAAATGTAATCTTCCATCCTCCTGAAATGTTAAAGGGATATGGATCCATTAAAAAAAAAAAATCACACTGCAATCTCAAAATGTGAAAACTAGTACTGTGAACTGAAAGGGATTAGAGGGGGGAAATAATGGTTTGTAGTTTATTTACTTTTTGTGTTTGCTAGCACTTTGTGTATAGCCATTTTCACTGTTTCTCCTGCATAGGCCTCCATCCTGAAAACGAAAGTGGTTAACTTTTACGAGAGGAGTCCCACTGAAGTCAACAGGAGAACTTGTGTGTATAAAGTCAAGAATAAGCATAAGTGTTTGTGGGATCCGGATGTCAGTTGCAGTATATGAAACTACTTTAAACTTGCTTCTTGAAAATGACTAGATCTCAAGCTGCCAGTGTTGCCTTAAACATGTAGTACAGTACTTCCATAATATTTATTCTCAAAATTCTTCACAAATGTCAACTAAATAATCTTCAAACCACTGTGAGGCAGGCAATATATTAGTACTTCTAAAATACCGAGCATGACAATCTGTTTTTAGTTACCATAATAGTGACTTAGGTTATGATTCTTTACTATAATCTGCTAGCATGGAACCCCTGAACTTTAATGGAACTCCACATGGGTACAAGGAATCCATGATAGTGGATCTTAAAGCAGCACTGGGGCCTTAATTAAAAGCTCTTCCAAAGTTAGGTTCTTTAGTTTCAGTGACGGAAGAATTTGGGAAAAACATTTATATTATTGGCGTAAACAGGGATTTCTTAGGAAGCGATTGCTCACTGAAATCTAACAAATTTGGAGATCACAGGGTAACTCTCTTGCTATATTTGTGCTATATATGTTGGATTTATTAGAGAAATAAGATATGAGCTGTATTTATTAGAGGTATAAGAAAATATGTTCAGCAAATAAAAAAACCTAAGTCTAAGTACTTGAACGTTCTTATGTCTTATAAAACAAGCTCTCAGCTTTTCATGTAGTAAAGACAACTTGTTGCAAGGTGCTTTCTCCATCTTGATTTACTTTTCTTTACATACAGCAGCATTAAAATGATGGAAACTCTCAGCAGATATTTTTCCCTTCAGACCACAATTTAGTTTAAAAGCTTTGTGGTGGCAAATTTTTCAGCCTAGGAATTAAACCTTTGGGATTTACCTTCTCCTTGACCTGTTATCTTCCACTTATAAAGTGCCAACTTAGACAAATTTAAGGACTTTGTGTGAAATCTTACTTCCACTAACTTCAGTAGGGCCAGATTTCATTCTTGATTTACTACTTTCATGTCACTCATTTATTTTAAATTGATAAAAACAGGACTGTGTGTATCAAATACGGAAAACTTACATATATTTTAGCATATTTTGCCCTAGTAAACATTGAGACAGACTGCAGGGATGTTTCCGAAGCTTGTGAGGCAACTTACAAGCAAATTGTGAATAGGATGCTTAGTATGTTTTTCATTTTAAACTTCTTACAGATAGCATTGTTATTGGCAAATTAATTCACTTTCATAGTTATATTGCTCTAAACTGAAGCTGACAGCAGTTACATTTGTCAAAACAAAACAGTCTTGATTTAAAATGTGACATTTTAACATAATTTTCCCCAGGTCTCAGTTTTTGACGTTTTTGCATTTTAGAGCACAAAATATTGTCATAACAGTAGTGACTGATTATCTGAGACAGCTGCCAAAATATGAATGTTTAAGCAACACTGTGAAACCCTAACGTCAATATAGAGCAATTTTTAAAGGATTTAAATTGATTGGATTGCTGAGATTTTCACAGGAACAGAGGAAGAACCAGAGTACATGTTTAGGTACGTCATGTACTAGCAGTACTGTACTGTACCTGCCCTAATGCTCTACTTGAAATGTCATGGAAGTCATCATCCAGAAATTAAATTGCATCATCAAGAAAAAGAAATACAAAAAGTATATGGCATTCTTCTATATCCCAATCAACTAATGACAAAGCAGGAATTCTTTAAACTCTACAAAGTTTAGATTTCTAGAAGATCATTTCACTTCCTAATTATGCTCCATGCCAATTATGAACTCAATTTTTGTGAATGCTTAACAAAAATAAGCTGTCAAAGAATCTTTGTGAGGTTTGGCCCAGATCCTGCAAACATGTCCTTAACTTTACTCTCACAAGTAGCACCACTAAATTAAATCAAACTACTCACATAAGTAAACTTAAGTGTGTGGGTAAGTGTTTACAGGATTGGGACCTTTGTTTGTAAAATTTTAAAGGATAAACAATAATTCATCCTTGTGTTTAATCCAATCTGTTTACAAAAACATCTTGACTAGTGCAGTTACTTCATTCTGTTCCTGAGACTTATGATACATTTCATCTTTTATTTTGCCCACATGTATAATATGTTCAACTTGCTCACCCAGCCACCAAACAAGTCTATGGAATATTTCCCTTTATATACAGGAATAGAACATGTCAGACAGAGCTACAAACATAGGGATATAGTGTAATTTTACCTGTGTTTTTCAGAGTATAGACTCATAACTCACAAGTGACAAACCTGCGATAAATTATACTCCTTTTCAAACTATACAAAGTAACTTCAAATGAGTATGGCATAACCAGACAACTCTCAGGTGCACAACTCTGACTGTTTCTTACCTATTGTGTTAAAATAAATGAGAATTTGCATACACAACAGTGCTAATTTTCCACTATTTTCATTAAGATCCAGATAGTACTTCAAATGAAGTTGGATCAGGCTATTAGAGCACTGATTTGTATTTCAAAAATTCCTAAAACAAAATATACTCCCTTAAAAACAGTGCAGAATTCTGTGAACTTTAAACTGCACCATGTTCTTCAGAAATACCCCAGAGTACACACATTTAGAAGCATTAGTGTAGACTTACTTTAGATATAGACACAAGCTGAAGAAATGAGCCGTTAAAGGTCTTCTGAGATTCTGGACGTAACCGTTCCAGAACAGCAAAAATCTATTTCAAAGAACCATTTGCCTACGGAGAAGTTAAGTACCTTGCTCAAGATCACACAAATCAGTGGCAGAATGAAGGAAAGAACTCGGAGCTCCCCAGGCCCAGATCTTTGCTTTCACCACTAGATCATGCCACTCAAAAAGGCATTTTTGGAAATGAAATGTATATTGAGTTTGGATTTCTTTTGTTATTAGCAGGTATCTGCCCATAAAGTGTTCCCAGTCAATATTCAGCTCAAAGTAATCCTCCATTTAACGTACTGAAAAGCAGCAAAATGAAATGTACATCTCAATGATACTCTGGAGAAAATTATTGATAACTAACCTCTTCATCAGAGTCATCTGCAAAGACTGAATGTTTCTTCAACATCAGAGTTTTCTGCAATGCTTTCTTGGGCAAAATAAGCCCATATCTGGAGAAAAAGGTTAGAAATCACCCTTTTATTATTATTGACAATAATACAGTAATATATGTATTATATTCCAAGACAAAGAAAACAACCACCCAATTTTAAAAATAGAAAATAGCATACTAGCAAAATCAGCATCAGTGCCACTGTTATTGGGCATAATTTAGGACATTATTTGGTACAACGTAGCCAATCTTGTCACCCTTTCATACACTTCTCCTACAGCAGTCTTTATGCTTTTTTCCATGCCACTCACTCTGCAATCAATGCCCTTCCAGAGCTGGTCCACAAAGCCAGTATCCTCTCACTTAAATCCCTCCTGAAGGCCCACTTCTAGCGCAAGAAGAAACTAGTTAGGGGTCTTTATTCTGCAAAGGATTAAACATGGGCACACCTCGAAAAATAATTTTCACCAATAATCAAAATTCACAGATAGGTAAGAAAAATGCTGCTTGTGAACTTATTAGAGTTTAAGGATATTTACTTTGTACATTTTGATGTGACATTAACAATTTGTGTTTTAATGGTTATAAAGTTTTAACTTTTTGAATCTCAACATCTACTGTCATTAAATAATTATTGTCTGCCTCCCGTTATCTAATGTCCCATAATTTTACACAACCGTGAAAATTTAAATTGATAAAAATAGAAAAATAGTTAAAAATAAAATTGATATTAACCGTTGAAATTATAAAAAAAAAATCTAATTCTGCCAAGCCTACAAATAAGCATTTGTCTTTCTTAAGAGATTATTTCCACTCTTTTGGGAAGGGTTTGTTAGCACAGAATGCTGCTGCATGTTTCCTCACCAACACAGGAGCACATCAAACCTGTAGCTGCTCCCTACAGAGGGTTCCTGTAGAACAGTGGTTCTTAACCAAGGGTGCGCGTACCCTGAGGGTACACAGCAGTCTTTCAGGAAGTACATCAACTCATCTAGATATTTGCCTAATTTTACAACACGTGACACAAAAAGCACTAGCAAAGTCAGTACAAACTAAAATATCATACAATGACTTGTTTATATTGCTCTATATACTATACGCTGAAATGTGAGTACAATACTTATATTCCAATTGTTTTATTTTATAATTATATGGTAAAAATGAGAAAGTCAGTCATTTTTCAGTAACAGTGTACTGAGACACTTTTGTATTTTTATGTCTGATTTTGTAAGCAAGTAGTTTTTACGTGAGGTGAAACTTGGGGGTACGCAGGACAAATCAAACTCCTGAAAGGGGTACAGTAGTCTGGAAAGATTGAGAGCCACTGCTATAGAATATCAAATCAAGTTCAAGGTCTCAGTACTATTCTCAAGGAATGCAAAGGCCTGGGCCCAGGCCATCTAAAAGATCACCTATTATTATTTATTACTTGTACTGCAGAAGTACACCAGGACCTAAAGATCCAGAATGAAGTCTGTAGTTGATAACCCCACTCCACTGCACAAATGAACTCTATGGTGTAAGAAACAGAGCTTTCTCAGGGGGCTGGTCCTGGACTGTGGAACAAACTCCCACAGGAACAAAGGACAATCCCAAACCTTACCACCTTCCCCTCCAAATTAAGGCACACCTCTTTGACTGGCCCTCTTGTATATACACACAGAACAACAGGTACATTAAACGAAATAAAAACCCACCAATACAAAACACTCCATTGCGCACACAATTCCCGCCCCCAGCAGAATGAGAGAGAAGGAACTGCATGTGACAAATGTTAGTCATGCCACTTAAGGCACTACTGGAAGGTGCTCTGACAATACGGGCAGGTCTACACTACAGCTGGGATCTACGCTCTGAGATCGATCCACCGGCAGTCAATTTAGCGGGTCTAGTAAAGACACCCACCCCCCAAACAGGAAGAGTAAAGTAAGTTGAGGGGAGATTTTCTCCCATCAACCCCCCACGGTAACTCGACCTAAGGTATGTCGACTCCAGCTACGTGAATAACATAGCTGAAGTTGCGTAGCGTAGGTCGACTTACCACAGTAGTGTAGACATAGCTTAATGTGATGAGTGCAGTAGAGGTGGGTAGGTAGATAGGCTATCTGCCTTGAGTGATGTAGGTTGAGCTAATTTTTAAGTGTAGACCAGGCCTAAGAGCTCCTAGGGGCAGGGAACAGGTCTTCTTTCCTGTTTGGAAAGGCTTTGAGAGTTGTACAGGAAGTAAACAATAATAAATTTGACCCCAAAATTAGGTTTGGGAAAAACAAACTTTTACTAGCTCTAGACCCAATGATATATTTCTATTAATTTGATGCAAGAAGCTTCCAGGCTAAACAGTTGCTTTTAAAACAAACAAACATTCCCTTGCAATGTTTGCCTTCTCCAAAGTTGCCCTGAGATCCTAGAGCCCAAATTGAATAAAACAAAACAAAGTGATTTTGTTGATTTCCAATTCCATTGCCCAAGCTAAGGGAAAGACAGAAAATAATTAAACATCTGGATGAGGAAAGGGAAACTGAGCATTAAACCTCCTTTGGGTTTAATCATCTCACTTGGGGTCACTGACATGGGGACAGAAATTGGCTACAACAGAATTGTAAAGTTTTTAAAGCAATTTGTAAGTCTTCTGTTTATCACACAGCCCCAGGTGCAGATTGCTTCTGAGCACGCCACAATCCTCCACACTGTTTTGCAGGGGCCCACATGAGTAACCCCATTGCCTGAAGGTGGTGTTTTCAAGAGCTGCCCCACATCCCCAGCATCTGCCCCATGTCCTCATCCACCCTCACCATCCCA